AAATAGAAAATGTTCCTCACGGGTTGGTTGACGTTGATCATGAAGTGACACTTGCGGCGTGGATTGTCTTTGAACGGTAGAAAAAGTATTAAAATGGTTTGAAGGAACATTAGGTACATTCATTCTAACTCCTTGAATATTAGTTGAATCAAATGAAGTAATCGAATTTTTTACACTAGTGGAATCATTATGATTCTTATAAACGTCAGGAATATTAATACCGGGGGACTGATATCCCGAATCTTTGGAAAATGAACTTTGTGAAGGTGGTAAATTATCTCGAGGCGTTGCTTTTGAAGAAGTTTCATTATCTGAAGAGATCAACGATATTTTACTAATCTTTTTTTTAATTTCTTTATTCCCTTGAGTACTAGTTGGAAGGTATTTTGAACCACTATGAGCATTCTCGGTTTCATCAACAGCAGCAGCAGCAGCTTTATCGGAAATCATGCTACCAGAAGAAGCGGTATTCGAGCTGATATTACTTTCAGTGGTAAGGTCAGGATTCTCGCTGGTGGTAACAATGGTATCCGTATTGACATTGATATTAACAACCTTGGCATTATTGAATGATTGTTGAGAGTTATTTGATGCAGACTCCTCATTATCACCGGTAGTTCCTAGTACAAAATCTCTTAATTGCACGTTAAACGGTGCCTTTTTTGGTTCTGGAGTATGACTTGCGGTGGAAGGGGAAGTTCGTGAACGAGAATGAGGAGGTGAAGGTGTGTGCGATGGTGATGGTGATTGTTGTGACCGAGTTGGCGAACTTCGTGAAGAATAGTAAGCCAATTTGATATTATTTGCCGGTGAAATTGCTACAGCAGGAGGAGAAGCGGGTTCATTTGAAGACAATTCATCATTATCTTCGTCATCATAATCGCTAGCGTTAGAATCTCCTGTGGAGCTAGAATTATAAGGAATAAACTGAAGTGGATGTTTCGAATAGTAACCATCATGCAAACTACCACGTTTATCATATTTATTATTATTATATTTATTCAAATCTTTCTTTCTAAGGACCTTTTGATTTTTATTAGCATTCAATACTTTTTCATCCATTTCATGTTGTTCAACTGTGGCAGTTTGAACTTTTTGTAAAAGAGTTGGAGAAGTAACGATGTTTTGAGTGGGATCAGAAGGATTACCATTGTTGAGGTAACGTGACGTGGTCGAATCAACGGGCAAAGGTGACGAAGCGGCTGATTCATTGGTACCATTTTGAAAATAGGTATACTGAATGTGCGATTGATCATGTGAAGGTTGCATCGGTTGCTGATTATTATACTGATTGATCATTTGTGGTGGTGGGGTACCGAATTGAGTCATGATTTTAGGTAACGATGATACTTGTCGTCTATGATTTGATTGTTGGTTTAATTCCGGTTGTGTGTTAATAGCAGGCAATGGTTTATTTAAGTTAATGGAACGCGTTTCATCCGTAAAATTCCTATCCTGAAGTTGTTGGAGTTGCTGTTGTTGTTGTTGTTGTTGCTGTTGGATAAAGCTAGCATTATTATTATAACTATTATTATGCCACACATACTGTACGGGCTGCTGCGCTACAACACCGTGATATTCTGTACCGTTATTATTATTATTATTATCATATCCGAGATATCCCTATTTAAAAGAAATCAAAAATTTTTAATCAAGTAGGATTGATTAAAATGAAAAAAGTTTTTTTTAACATGATTATATCGTTACCTGTTGGGATGGTGTTGTAATCGGATGATGATGCTGTGGAATATCTTGATGTGGTGAATATGCTTTAGTTTTTTTACCCTTTTGTCTGGTGAATAGCTGCATGATTAATTAATAATTTTAAATTCTTTTTTTTTTTTTTTTTTAAAAAAAATTCTTTGATTTATCAAGGGGGAGAGAAAAAAAGAGAAAGCCTTTATATATGTGTATTAATTAACGTGTTCAAAAAAAGATTAATTTTTTTTGTACGGTACGTTTTAAATAGGTAATAGCGTTATTAGAGAAAGAAAAACAAAAATAAAGAAAAAGAAGAAAAAAAGAGAGAAAAAGAAATACTAGGATTAAAAAGAGAAAATACACAATATTTATTACAATAAAAATCAAGAAAAAAGTCATCACCTAAAATTAGAAAAACTGAGCACAAGATTCTATATTAAGCAATTTATTGTAACATTTTCGGAAGGGAGTACGTACGTAAAATAAAGAATTTAAATTAATTATTTTGTGATTGTTTAAATTAATTTCTTTTTCATCAATATTGCAGCAATTTTACGTGCTAATGTGACAAATCAAATTCCCGATTTTTCTGTACAACCATTGTTTGGGATTTCACGACATTATAAAATTTAAACGACCAAAGCAAGACCGCGCTTAATCGTACATTGTCCAATGTCCAGTTTGGTCACGATGTAAAATTTAATACTGATTAGGAATAATTATAATGACGAGATGGATTGTTTTTTTTTCATTAAATCCAATTTCGTAAAAATATGTATGCTTGGATTCTTTATTTTTTTTTATTTTTATAAGATCCAAGAACAGCAATTATTTTTTTTAAGTTGATTTTTTTACAAAAATGGCTAGTTCGGAAAATTCTTGGTTCGAAAAATCTGTGGGGTATGAATGTTGTCATAATTTAAAAATAACAAAAGTAACCTAAATTATGGGCTTGTTATTTATCGATGTTTCAGATTGATAGTAAGAAGCCGAGTTCTTTCCATAATAACGTTTCAAATTTTAATAGATGTTTTCCCCTTCTCTATTTCAAGCATAATTAAAATTCGGCTTTTAATCATTCATCACGTGATATGCAATCATAAATGGCAATTTCATTGTTGTAACTTTGTGAAAGATAGTACGGGGATATAAAAGTCCATGATTCGATTTTTTTTTTTTTTTTTGGCATAATATTAAGTTCACAAATTCACAAATTCGTTTGATTTGTTCGGAGATTACGGAGTTTTCCAATAATTTCTAAAAAAAAATATTAATTTTTTTTTTTTCTCGCTAAAATACTTATTTTTAGCTTTAAAATTTAGGAAATCACTCTATATGACAACGAAAATATATGTAGTTGATCAGATCTAAGATAAACCTTCACACATTCCACTATTTGGTTAAAATATATATATTAATGACATCAAAGATCCAAAAGACTTAAAAAGTGTTGATTGTTCCGAAAAGCATACAAAAAGGCAATCGGTATAGAGAGGTCTATTTATAGTAGTCCGTATTATTAGAAAGAGAACCAAATTAATTCTTTGAGGCGTTGTAAGCCAAGCACGGTGAACAATGCACCGAAAACTCTGGCTGACTTATCTGTTGAAATCTTTTTTTTTTTCGATGAAACAGGAAATAGAATAAATTAAAAAATAAAGTTAAGAATAAAAAGTAAGCGACTAAACAATCTTCCATTATGATACTCGGTTGAAGAAGTCGCGAAAGGAAATTTCTTGCCTAAACAAGAAAAATTCACGGCAAACATTACATACAAAAGGATAAAAAAAATTTAATTTTTCCTTTTTTTTTTTTAAAGTATTTGGCTAACAAAGAAAAAGTAATTTTTTGTTTGTTTATTGTGGTTAAAAAAAAAAAAAAAAAAAAAAGTAAAGGTTAGAAAATATATGGTTCTTATTGATGCAAACGACAACGGTTTTCTAAGCGCAAATTCACCATTTGAATTTTAACCGCCCATACAAATGCGAAATGATTATCATGTGATGCATGTATCATAACAATGCACGTTTTTATCTTTTTAAAAAAAAAATAGATCATGGGAAATCTAATGTAAAAAATTATTAACATCAATACATGAAAATAAATAATAAATATTGATAATAATAACAATAAACATTAACAAAATCTGTCACCCCATATAGCAACTTGTTTTGTCAAGATGTATGGACTATCATTTTTTTTTTTGTCAATCAACGAAACCTTCTTTTCAACAACAAAGGATGTATTCCTTCTTATCAATCAAATTGATTGCATACATTTGGATTTTTGTAACGGGATTCCAGTTCCAAATCCTTAAATGTCCTTAGAAGATTCTAAAGAATGTGCTTAGATAAGATAACATTTTAAGTTACATTGAATATTTACACATGAATATGTGTGTACGAAAATACCTAACGTATGAAAATTTCAAAATTATTTATAAAATCCCGTTGCAATCATGTGATTTATTATTAATGATTTTAGGTAATACATTTAAAAATAGCATAGGCAATTGTATTTTGGTAACCTGCCAAAAGTACCAATGATATTCTTTTTTTTTTGAACCTGTAAGTTTATATCCTCATAAATATTTACATCGTTAATTCAAAAATAGTTGACAAACATACGTGTTTCTTACAAAATTAAATCGTTCAATTTTGTTATTATTATACATATAACGACAAAAGATGACATTTGACGAGCGTAATTAGATGAGGGGCAAGAGATGACGATATTTGATTTTCTGACCTCCCTTTCCTTGTCATTGAGAAATCTAAAATGGAAATTATAGAACGTCATCGTGAACGAACCCCCCTTGATTATTCATTGATCGTAAGCCGTGGATGGTGTGTATTTATTTTTATGCATTCATTCTTACCCGTTTTTGTCTATGAAATCTCAAAGAAAATTTTGATCCTACAAGAAAGTTGTCCGATTTATGATTACTATTTTTACAAGGCATTTATGGACTGAAATTACGGTAATTTTTGGCCGGAATTGAAATATCGAATCAAATTAGTTTAACGTTAACCTTTCCTCTAAATCGTCCCTGATTAAAGGTCAGCTGATATTCCTTCCAAATTTTATACACGCAGTTATTCCGCGATCTTTTGGAAAAGAGAATTTAAAATTCGTTTTCGAGCAAAGTTTATTCAAATGATTGTTACACGTATCTATCTTTATGTTAAGATATCTTTAACCGTTTTATTTATTTATTTATTTATTTTTTTTTTTTTATGAAATATTTACAAAGGTTAATTAATGTAAAATTAATTTACGAGTCTATACATGTATTTAAATTAAACAAGCGTAATGAATATGAAACTGGCTGTTCCGATTAGAAAACTTATTGCAATACTCCATATTCCATGACTCCTATTCAAAATGATGCTATTACTATTGCCAAAGTCTTGAGCAATGTCTGTTGGCTCAATCATGGGTGATGTCACTTTCTTTACGACGACCACCGTACTCGGAGGCATATAGGAAGCGAAGGTTGAAGGTTCACCTTCATTGTCCGTCGTTGTTACAAACTTTGTTGTACCAGGAATAACTGTCGTATATGTTGTTGTAAACGTTGTAAATTTTGTTGTTGGTTTTTCTTTCTTTTTATCATCGTTATTCGGATTTTTGGGAGTCGGAGTAGGAGTCGGTGTTATTAATTCGTCGGGTGCAGTGATAGTAGGTAAGATTGTTCTACGATTTTTTGAATTGTAGGTAAGTATCTGAGTGGTCATTAGAAGTATCAAAAAAAAAATTTTTCTTTTTTTCCTTATCCTTACTTACTTCGTGGATGGTTGCTCATCTTGTTTCGGGGTATCAACTTGTTCTGGAGGGTCATTTTGTTTTGGAGGGTCATTTTGTTTCGGAGTGTCATCCTGCTTCGGAGTTTCAACTTGCTTGGGGGTTTCTACTTGCTTCGGCGTATCATCTTGTTTCGGAGTGTCATCTTGCTTGGGGGTTTCAACTTGTTTCGGAGTGTCATCTTGTTTGGGGGTTTCAACTTGTTTCGGAGTGTCATCTTGCTTGGGGGTTTCAACTTGTTTCGGAGTGTCATCTTGTTTGGGGGTTTCAACTTGT